AGAATGGTTGGAGAAGGGGGAGGAGGGAGAGGATGGTGGGAGAAGACGGAGGAGGGAGAGGAGGGGGAGAAAGTGGCGGAGAAGGAGGGGGAGGAGGTAGAGGAGGGAGGAGGAGCGGGACGAGTTAATCAAAGTTGACTAGACACAAAACGAGTGTGTGCCATTTTCGCGGTGGTTTGCCGGTGTGGTGTTTTGAACATAAACATTGTTCAAAACTACCCATTGTCAACTGGTCTTTTAAGCATGATGTAGGCTGTTTTTTAAGAAAAAAAACGTACTCTACACGGTACCTACGTTCAGATACTATACATTGGTCGTTTAAACTCATTTTTGAAAAAAATGGACATAGGCAGTTTTGAAAATAAGCTCTTCATATGTAGCACAGATTATATTTGAAATAGCATTGAGTTATATTTGTACAGAACAGTGTGTGAGAAATCCACATTAGGCCGCGTTAAGGAACAAAAACATCCATATTAAAGGTAATAATAATAATGATAATAATAATAAAATAATAATAATGGTGCTTATGATGATTATATAACAATAACAAGAATACAAAAATATACAAAAAATGAATAAATAATAATATTAATAACGATAATATAAATTATTTCAATTTAGTATCCACGTTTCATTTGTATGCTTCATGGCTAACTTACAGATTCGAGGAAATTGGGCGTGACCACGATGAAAATGGTGGCCGAACACCAGATGGTCCTGAACCAAGGGGTGACTTCCGCCCAGATAGCAACACCAACTGTCCACGTCGGTAATATCTGAAAACGATCATACAGGCAAATCGTAAATTATATCTATCTATCCATCCATCCATACATACATGCATGCATGTATGCATCCATCCATCTATCCATCCATCCATCCATCCATCCACCCATCCATCCATCCATCCACCCACCCATCCATCCATCCATCCACCCACCCACCTATCCATCCATCCATCCATCCATCCATCCATCCATACATCCATCCATACATCCATCCACCCACCCATCCATCCATCCATCCATCCATCCACGCACACGCACACGCACACGCACACGCAGACTCACAGGATAGCGTGGGCTCGGCACGGACAAGATACTTTATATATTGTTTCTTTATTCGTTTAGAATTTGTTGGGCATTGGTTTACTTTTTTATTTTTTTATTTATTTATTTATTTATTTTCATCCATTTATTTATTTCTATATGCGTATTTATGCATGATAATATTTAGTCTAATGAACGATACAGTTCTAAATCGCGCAGATTTATATGGAAGTAATAACAAATATGATTGGTTTAGCTGCCGTACTTAACACGTTCAACGCGAAACACGAGTATACTCGTTGGGTAATGCTATCCCCCGGGCGTGGAGGGAGGTGACCGCAACGTGGCAGCACTAGTGTTAGAATAGTGTTAGGATTAGGGTTAGGGTCAGGATTAGGGTTAAGGTTAGGGTTAGGGTTAGGGTTAGGGTTAGGATTAGGGTTAGGGTTAGGATTAGGAACAGTGTATTGTTGAAAGCTCATAGGTACCTACTACAATACACAGTGTATTGTTAGAAGGTGTTCAACAATACACCGTGTATTGTTGAAAGCTCGCTAACAATACACAGTGTATTGTCAAATGCCTAAACATACAACACACTGTGTATTGTTAGTTACCTAGTAACCAGGATTATCTGCATAAATACATCAATTAACAGGCCCATGTCAGACAACACGCGCTTTAGACACAGCGTGAGTATGCGATTCGATATTGATGTATATCACGGCATACATCACGACAGAAATATGAAGCATTGCATGGAAATACCGCACAGCATAATGATGAGGTGTAGCATACCATACACTGTAAAGATGAGATGCAGCAAGTACCGCATAGACGTGCGTGTCACAGAGAATACAAATAGGTCTCGTCACACAGCACAAAGATGTGACACCACATGGCCACGCCACGCAGCACAAAGATGTGACAGCACATGATCACGTTACATAACATAAAGATGTGACACCTCATGGCCACGCCACACAGCACAAAGATGTGACACCACATGTTCACGCCACACATCACAATGATGTGACACCACATGGTCACGTCACATGGCATAAAAGTGTGACACAATAAGGAAATATTATATGGACATGCATTTCATACAGCGTAAAGATGTGCTGCAACAAGTACATGTCACGCGGACATGCATGTCACACAGCAGACATATGTGACACAACATAGTCATGTCACACAGTGTGACAACGTAAATTCGACAGATTTTACTGAGCAAGACACCAAGGAATTACGAAACAACAACGACAACGACGACAACATCAACAACAACAACAACAACAACAACAACAAGACGTTATCTCACGACGTGGTGAGTAGTGGCAGCGGCGGCGGCGACGGCGGCGTGGTAAGGCTGACGTTGGCAACGTACGATGCTTGCTTGATGATCAGGTTCCTGTCGTGCTCGTCGTAGACGGCGGCGACCGTGAGTAGGTTGACAAGGCACTGCGACACGGTGATCACCACCATCAGCACCGTCTTCGTGACGTGGCTGATCTGGATGAGCAGCGAGATGGACAGCAGCACCATGAGAACGCCCATCGTGAGATACTCCGGGTACAGGCACTGGTTACCGTCGCCCGGTAGATACGTCGGAGAGCGGCCCGTAAGGTTGCCGCTGTAAGATGGCGGGTCGTCACACGCTACCTGCGTCACGAGATAACCGCAATATGGCATGTATTTTGTTTCATAATTCTATTTTTTGTTTTATGGTTGATTATATCATATATAACATTCACGGATCGAATGCTTCGATTCTCAGATCGAATAATGTGATTCACGGATCGAATGCTTCGATTCACGAATCGAATAATGCGATTCAGAGTCACGAGAGTTTCACAGTTTTAGAAGGACGAGGTATATGAGGAGAGGAGAAAGTGGTACAGGAGGAAGGAGAGAAGGTAGAGGACAAGGGAGAAGGTAGTGAGGGAGGAGGAGGGGAGAATGGGTAGAGGTAGAAGAGGTAGAGGACGAGGGAAAAGGTAGTGGAGAAGGAGGAGGGGGAGAAGGAAAGGAGGTAGAAAAAGAGAGACATGAAGGAGGTAGAAAAGGGGTACAGGAAGGAGGTCGAGGAGGAGGGTAGAAGGTAGTGGGGGAGGAGGGGGAGGAGGTAGAGGAAGGAGAAGGTAGAGGGAGAGAATGTGGTGGAGGTGAGGGGGAGTTGGGAGATATGGGAGAAAAGAGGTAGTGGAGGAGGAGAAGGTAGAAGAGGGAGGAGGTCGAGGATGGTGGGAGAAGGTGGAGGAGGTAGAAGAGGGAGTAGGTAGAGGATGGTGGGAGAAGACGGAGGAGGTAGAGGAGGGGGAGAAAGTGGCGGAGAAGGAGGGGGAGGAGGTAGAGGAGGGAGGAGGAGCGGGACGAGTTAATC